AGGAGAGGAAGACCTTTGATGAGATAGATCGATTCTGTGACTGGAGTGGTGGGAATGAGTGCATTTGAGATGGTTAGGTTGGTACAGGATAGAACGGCTTTGAGAGTTCTTGTACATTGAGTTGCAAGTGACTCGATGGCACATAGCAACAACAATAAAATTCATTTACTTATTTTAGCATAAAAATGACTGGGTTTGTTGATCTGGTCATTTCTCCCCAGCGGTTAAATTACCTAACATATAGATATTGGATTTGATGATTTTATAAAGTAATTCCCTTTAGTAATCTGAATATGGAAAGAAATGCAATACAGAAAGACTGAAGGAGAACTATATTTCACATTATTTGTAATACCATGATTTTTAATATACTTTTTAAGCCCATGTAAACCATATTTCTAAAATTTTTCTTATAATTTATTTACAAAATTCTAATACACTGTTTTCAAGAAAAAATTCTTTCCATTTCCCGCACCCCCACCCATCAAATTATGCAATCTGAAAATTAATCTCTCCTCCCCCTGTACATCCTCTGCCCTCTGCTTCCAACCTCTCCCACCCCTATTGGAACCTTATACTCATTCTACAATAATAATTGTATACAATATTTATCTTTGTGGGACTGAGTTCACTCAGCATAATGCTCCCTAGTCCCTCCCAAGTTAGGTAATAATTTGCAAAATCATTGCTTCTGCATGTTACATAGTATTCCATTTTGTGAATGTACCATAATTTCTCAATCCATTCATCTGTGGTTGGACATTTGGGCTGTTTCCTTATTCTTGTGATAATGAATAATGCTGCTATGAAAATTGTCTCTCAGATCTAATTTTCTCAGAATATATTCCAAGTAGTGGAATAGCTTGGTCATATGGAATTTCTATGTTAATCTTTCTGAGGAAGCACCAAACTGATTTCCAGAATGGTTGTACTATTTTACAATTCCACCAATAATGTATGAGTTCCTTTCTCGCCACATCCTCTCCAAAATTTATTGCTTGCTGCCCTGTTATGTTTTGACCCTGTTACTGGAGTAAGATTGTAACTCATTGTGGTTTTGATTTGCATCTCTCTTATTGCCAGTGATTTTTAAAAAGTTTCATAGCTCCAATACAACAGAAATGGTATATAATATCTGTACATCCTTATTTCACTAGTTTTTATATACTGTAGATAAAAATCCAATTTTGAAAGCATTATTCCGAGATAGAAAACTTGAAATTTGAGCATGAGCTATTTTATTTTTCATTTACATATTATTCTGGCTCTGCTACAATAATCAGATACAGGGGAAAATTACTTCTTCAGTATGACTGAAATAAATGTCATGTCATTACAGTCCCTACCTGGGCCATGTGGTGAATAAAAACTGACTATTGTGCCTAGAAGTAATGGCGGTTATAGAGTTTCATGGCTTTCTGATTTTTCTTATGCTCCTCTTTGTCTCTTACAGGTGCTGAAATGGGTCGAGGAAGCTGTGCAGGCCTCCAAGGTTCACCTCTTATCCACGGATCACTTGGAACATGCTGTGAACACTTGGCAAATTCCTTTTGATCCCAGCCTTAAAGAGGTGACAGTGTCACTGAGTGGCCCTTCTCCAATGATTGAAATTCGCAATCCTTTAGGTGAGATATATCCAAATACAATTTAAAAATTGTGGCTGGTGAAATAGATTTTTTTTTTGCAGTTCCTTATTTGCAAGTTGTTGTTGATGCTTTTGAATTTATTCCAATTCATAATGACTTCCCATAAGTTTTCTGTAAACTGTAATCTTTATGGGAAGGTTTATATAGACATTAATTTTCAAAGAGCTTAATTATTTGTATCATTAGGGGTCCTAAAGTAAAGTTATTGCTGACTGAATGAGAAAAATCCATAAATTTAGCAATTTGCAATAAGAAAGATACTGTAAAAGGAACAGCTTGAACATTAGAATGATGGTGTCTGACATCTATTCACTTGCTAAAGACAGACTTTCCCCATCAACAATATCCATAGCAGTAAACAGATAGCTGCTAGGTCCGACATGCCGTGCCTCATGCTCCTGCACCTATTTCTACCAATCATATGACTTTGATATTCATTATTAACTCACATACTTTACTCATATTTATGGTACAAAGAATAGGATTTATTAGGGAAATCATTTGGGGAATGGGAGAGTCAAAAAATATCTCACAGTACAAGTCCTGGAGTAGTTCAGCAATCCCAAGCCAGATTAACAGCAAAATACAATTCATTAATTAGTAAAAGCCCTGATTTCAGTTCAGTAGTCAAGGATTCTAAAGCTTTGTCTGACATACTTTGGGCACATTGCAAGGAGGGACCAGTCCTTGGAGAGGGACATCATGCTTGGGAGAGTGGAGGGACGGCGCAGGAGGGGAAGACCCTTGATGAGATGGATCAATTCAGTGATTGGGGTAGTGGGAGTAGGTGTGTCAGAGATGGTGACATTGGCACAGGACAGAGCAGGGTTTAGGGCTCTTGTACATAGGGTGGCTATGAGTCACAAGTGATTCGATGATACATAACAACAATAACGACAACAGTCATATCCAAATCATCCAGCAAGATTTGTCTCAGAGCAGTTATAAATCAGTTTCTCCTTCAATCACCTGGCAAGAACAACAAACTCTTTAACTGTGGCCTTTATCTCAAAGTTTCTCTATTTACACCTTTCCAGAGTCTCTCCACAGCAACGCTTCTGTCTCTCCACCACCATCACTAGGGTCCCAACATCAGGGCTTCCCTTTCACCAGGGTCTGGCTCTCACCGGGCTCTTGTTCAGTCTACCTCAAGTCTTGGTGCTCAGTTTGAGAAGCTCGCTCCCTCTCTCATCCTAGTCCCACAGCTGTTGATTTAAAAGACCATTTGTCTACAGTTAAAGTAGCTGGATACCAGAGGGGGCTAATGTAATGGCTAGAAGAGCCAACTTTTAAGCTAACACCACAGATATTTTAAAAGTAAAACTGACTTTTTAAAAAAGTCCTAATTGTTGAATTAGCATTTGACTCAAAGGCTAAACTTTTTAATATTTTGAACAGATCAGATATAGTAAATACATTTTAAATAAAATACATTAGAGAGAAATAGTGTAAAAGAAAATCAGTTCATAGTCATACAAAGAAGAAAAAACTAAAACCCACTGCCATTACATTGATTCTGATTCATTGGATTTATGAGGCTGTAAATGTTAACCAGGGGAGACTGTCCATTTTTTCCGTGAAGTGACTGTTTTAAACCAGTGGCTTCTAAGTTAACAGTTTGGAATAAAACACTCTATATAATGTTGACTAAATATAAGTTTACCAATTTCAATATCTAAAAGAATACACTGAACAATAAATATTTGTTTTATGAATGACAGTAATACTTAGTTTTAGGAAAATTTTGTATTTCTTACCTGTGTATCAGGAAATGCTTCATATCAAGTTATTCAGCACAGTTCAGAATTTTTGACTACTTTAACATAAATTACAAGGAAAAGAAAAGAATGTTTTATAAAGAAGCTGCTCAAATTTTTTCACTGAATCATCTTGGAAAGGTTTCATTTAACATATTTGTTAAAAGTCAAATTTCTATTTTTTAGTAGGTAAATTATTTTATTTACTTTGTTTAATTTTATTTAAGTCTTAGAATATAACTTCTCCATAAAAGTATTTTAAATTTTCCTGAAAATTTGCAAACATAGCCTACTCAAAGGCAGGTCTTTCACCAAAGGACAAAGGTAGATGATCTCCTTACATGTGATTTATAGCTTCTGAAAACCCACTGAATGTGTCTGCTATGAGCTGCTCCAATTTACTACCACATAAAAACAACAATCTGGAAACATAAAAGCACCTGTATACACTGTACTATATTTCTGCTCATTTTAAAAGTTGTTGCATATACAATGACTGTAAAAAAATCTATGATGCGAACAAAATTGTTACAACAAATTTATTTACATAAATGTCAAAGTAAGTCTAGGAGAGCCAAGAGTGCAGTGAATAACTAAACTATGGCTTAGATCCAAATTTGCTGTTCTATTTGTATAAGACCCAACTATTAAATTAGATAAAACTTAAGCTGGTAGATGATGGTATTGTGATGCTTGCTTGCACTACCTCCTTTGATCATTAGCATGACCTTTTATAAAAGCCTTTTCTTGTGTTTTCTGGAAAAGTGGTTACAATTTTGCACTTGGTGAAAAGATATACTCAGGGCCCTAGTGTTAGTAATATCCTGAACGAGCTCCAAAAGGGACATTTATTCTGATTTACTGTACTTTCCATCTGTTTCATCTAAATGGCTCTTGTGTCTGCATTTACCTCTCAGTGGCCATAGGAATTGCTCTCTAGGCTGGCTTTGGAAATATGATCATAGTCTGCCAATAATAATTCTCATTTAAAGATCAAATCAGTACAATAAATGAGAAGCTGCTACTTCACATCCAATGTACAGAACCTTTAAAATCAAGTACTTTTTAGATATTAGAAAATATGATATTTTGACCAAGGGGCACTTAAGTCCATCAGCTAGCTGATAGTGAAAATAAAAGACCCTCTATCCAGACCATGGGAAAGAAAATACTAATTCTTCAGGTCAATTTCTAGCTCATGTTAATAATAAAAAAACCCCTTTGTCTTATTTGAAATCTGATCGTATACTTAGATTTATGTAGTGTTAAATTAGCTAATACTCATAGCTGGGAGAAATAGTATGCTTATTTCCTTTATGCCTGTCTTTCAGGGAAGCTGATAAAAAAGGGTTTTGGCCTGAATGAGCTATTAAATATCCACAACTCTGCCAAGGTGGTGAATGTAAAAGAGCCAGAAGCTGGAATGTGGACAGTGAAGGTACTGTTACTTCACAAAGCCTTCTTATGACTCTGTTTTGATGATGCCATGTTCTGTGAAGTGTACACAATATTTATGTCTGCTCTTGCAAGCATGAAGAGCACTTTTAATAAAACAGCAGAGTGTATTTTTACAAGGTTTCTTATTCACATGAATTTGGTTGCATGGAATTTTGGTGACTATGAGGTGAAAGCTATCCATGTCACTAGAAGCACCCACAGTTTTCCAGTAGTTTTTCGGTTGTCACATCTTAGATTGGTTCATTGCTTTCTCCCCTCCGCCTCCTGCTTTTAAAACAATCTAAAATGTAGACTCCAGAGAATAATGCTTAGGGGCAGAGACTCCAGTGTGAAACTCTCTGGGTTTGAATTTTGCCATCACTACTTGGACGTGACACTACCTGCGAACATGACTTCCTCCTCATTCTTTGCTTGCCAACACTGTATTTTAATCACTTCGTAGAATTTGTGACATTGTGGGTAAGGCATTGGTTTGCTAGTGAAAAGATTAGTGGTTCAAGTTCATTAGCCACTCTGGAAGAAATAATACTCTGTCTGTTCCCATAAAGATTTATAACCTTGGAAACTCTATGGACAGTTTTACTTTGTCCTGCAGGATCACTGAGCCTGAATAGAATCAGTGGCAGTTGCTTTTGGTTCTTAGTTCATTTAACTGTGGTAAGAGTTAATTTCTCTCTTATTGTTCTTCAGTTGGAACCAAGTCATGGCTGACCCCTCATTGGGTTTTTGAGACTGTAAATCACATAGGAGGAGATTGCCCACCTTCGTCCCTTGAGAGATCGGTGGATTTGAAGAGTCTTGCAGTGTTTTGTTTAAGAGCATAATGCCTTATGAACAATGCCATGAGAGATGCATACAAAATAGTGCCTAGTACAAATTAAATTCTCAGGTAGTCCTGAATATTGTTACTTTGTAGATCTTGATCCTTTATTTTCTGTAACAGACACAAAAATGTATTTGTAACTTGGAAATCTGTTTGAATGGCACAGATGTCATTATAAGAAAGTAGTACATTTAACAGTGTGGAGTAAAGACTTGGGAGATCATAAACCTCAGTTCCGATTATGATACTGATTGTGTGTGTGACCTTCTGTAGTGAATTCCCGGAGTGTCTCATCCATTTCTCTCAAATGGTGCAATGTGTTCTAGCCTCCTTTTAGCCCTAGAACCAGCATCTCTGTGTCTGAGAACTTTTCTCCAAGATAAAGGAAATACTGTTCTGTGGGGAATCAGCAGCCCTTAGGAGCAGCTTTCATGTCCATTGGAAATAAGCTCCAGTTTTATTCAATGGGAACAGACTTTTATTAACTGTTTTCTTTTACAATGATCTTTTGCATCTTAAATGAAAAGTTCATTGAGTCTTTCTTAAGAACTCAATGATGAGGCAGTATACATTCAACAACAGCCTGGTAAGAGGTACAGCATTGCAAAGGGAATAGGGGAGAGGAGGTAGGTAATTGTGCAACAATAAATGAGTATTTTTTAGAAAAATGAACTAGACGAAAGGGAAGAAAAGAAGAGGGTGTAAAATGTGCAACAATAAGTGAATGAAAATCTAACTTCTCTGAAAACATTCATCAAAATCCCAGTTAAGTTTGGTTTGGAGTGGTTTTTTTTTTTGTTTTGTTTTTTAAGAACTCAGATTAAGATATGCTATATATAAAACCCCCTCTGGTTGCCTAGTGGTAAGAAGCTTCACTGCAATCCCAAAGGCATGTGATTCTAATCTACTAGCCGCTCTGCGGGACCAGAATGAGCAGCCTTTTCCTGTGTGATTAACTGCTTCTGAAAACTCATTGGAAGGTCAGTGGTTGGTCACTTCCAACTCGACAGTACACAACAACATCTTTTAAAAAGCTCTGAATGTGCGCACCAGTGTATGTGAGTAAATTTGGAGCGCAGCTGCCTGGCCAACTGACTGGAGGAGATCTATCTTTGTCCCCATTCCCAAAAAGGGTGATCCAGGAGATTATGGAAATTACCAAACAATATAATTAAAACTACCAGCAAGAAAATGATTACTGAAGAGCATCCAAAAATGGCTAGAACAATACACTGACAGAAAATTTCCAGACATTTTAATTGGGTCTAGAAGAGGTGGTAGCACCAGAGGTGCTACATCATTGCAGATGTCAGAGAGATCATGACTGAAAGCAGAAAATACTAAAAGAATGTCTATTTTGTCTATTGACCGTGCAAAGACATTTTGCTGTATGGATCATAGCAAATTATGGCTAACACTGAGAAGAACTCAGAACAGTTTATTAGGCTCATGAGAAGTCTATACCTAGATCAAGAAGCTGTTATTCAAATGGAGCAAGGGAACACTGATCAGTTTAATGTCAGGAAGTGTGTGTGCCGAGGATATATCCTTTTCCTATTCCTATTTAATGTGTAAGCTGAGAAAATAATTCATAAAGCTGGACTCTACAGAGGAGGGTAGTATTAGGATTTGATGAAACTCATCAACAACTTGTATATGCAGATGGTACAGTCCTGCTTGCTGAAAGTGAGGGGGATATGAAGTGTTTGCTGCAGAAGATCAATGACCTTGATTTTTGGCTTTATGGCTTACATCTTAATATCAAGGAAAAACATCCTCATCACAGGACCAACAGTCACCATCATGATAGGAAAGGAATGGAAGCTGTCAATGAATTAATCTTGTTTGGATCAACAATCAACACCCTTAGTATCACAGTCAGGAAACCAGAAGATGTAGTGCATTGGATAAGTTTGCTTTCAGGGACCTCTCCAAAATACTGAAGAGCAATAAAGCCAGTTCAAAGACTAAGATACACATGATTCAGGCCATTATCTTCTCAATTACTTGTTATGCATCAGAGAGCTGGACAATGAATAAAGATGAGGGAAGAATGGATGGTTTTTGACTTGTGGTGCTGGGACTGCCAAAAGAATAACAGATAGGTCTTGGAGAAAGTGCAATCGGAATGTTCCTGGAGACAAGCATGGCAAAATTTCATCTCTTCTTGGATATGTAGCTAGGCAAGGCTCTTCTTTGGAAAGGGACATCATACTTGGAAAGGTGGAGGGTTGGCCAAAGAGAGAATACCCCAGTGGGATGGATTGACATCATCATTTCAACAATGGGTTCTAATGTGTCTGAGATGATAAGAATGACACAGAATAGGGCAGAGTTTAAGTCTGTTGTTCATAGGGTTACTATGAGTCATACTCAGCAACACCTAACAACAGCAACAATTGGAAAAAGAGAGCTCTGGTGACCTCATGATAAGGACCTATGCTGCCAGCTCAAAGGCATGCAATTCAAACTCACCAGTTACTCTGTGGGAGAAAAATGGACAGTCTCCCACCAACGCTTTGCTGCCTCTGAAATCCACTGAAAGGCCAGTGAGATATTGGTTCTGACTTTATGGTACATAACAACAATAACATCTGTAAAAAGGAATCCTGATGGCAGAGGAGATTGTATTGTGCTGCTAACCACAGGATCAGTTGTTAGAACCCACCACTGGCGGAAGAAAGATGGGCATTCTTCTCTATTTAAAATGGGTAGGCTTAGAAAGTCAATGGAGGGTCTTCCGTGAGCCAGAATGACCATAGTTAAGTTATTTTGGAAATTTTCTACTTTAAAAAATGGGATTACTGGGTCAATATCTAAACTCTTAAGCTGCTGTGAAAATGTAAGAAGTTTCAAGAAATGTTTAGTTTCTTTATCACCAAAGTATTACAATCTAATTATGGCCTAAGCCTGAATGAGTAATTCTATTATAGGAATTCATTCTTGGTTTCTGAAAAATTGTTAAGACTTTTAAGTTGGAGGCACTAGTTTTGTATGCCAATCAGTATATTAGGGTTGTTGGGTTTTCTTAAATGTTTTCAAAGCTACCTATAATAGCATTCCTAGTTTAAATAATAAAAACTTCCATTGTAACATCCTTCACCTCCTATATTATTAAATCTTTATCCTCAAAATCTAAATCCAGTAAAGAAATTTAAAAACACATTTTGTGATTTTTTTTAAGATAAATTCAAGGAATGTTAGACATAGGTAAAAAGGCAACTTGAAAAAAAAATCTGGTTATAGCTTAGTAAATGAACCAGGACGAGTTCCATCTACCCGTTTTATTCACCCAAGTCCTTGCACATAATAGGCACTTAATATTTCTTTTCTTTTATTACTATGATAGTTTGAATAACCGTGACCAAACGTGATGGGATAATTATTTTGAAGGACTTTGTGTGATCATGGTGAAAAAGAGTGTAAGAAGTGTTTTGTTTCTTTATCACCTAAGTATTACAATCTAAGTATGACCTAAGCCTGAACTAGTGATTCCATTATAGTAATTCATTCTTGGATTTTGAAAAGTTATCCATTATTAATTGTGAAATATTTACAAGTGATGCCATTAATTTGTATTGCTAGCACTTTCTTGTTACACATATGAATCAATTCCCAGGTGGTTTAGATTGCTTCTGGTAGTATTTATTTTCTAGTAAAACTACTGCCTAGAAAGAGAGAACATATCGCTTGTTCTACCTAAAGCCTAATATGCTCATTTGTTTTGTCATAGGTTTAATAAAGTTTAACACATCCATTCATTCTATTGTAAGTTCAGTGCTGCTTACAGTCATGTTCTGTATTAATTATTTAAGTGACACTAACCTACTGCCGTTGAGTTGATTCCTGTAGGACGTATGGTGACCCTATAGAACAGAGTATAATTGTTTCATATGAGTTCTAAAGCTGTAAGCCTTTGTAAAAACAAATTGCCACATCTTCATTCCCATGAAGCAGTTTGTGGATTTGGACCATAGAACATTAGATTAGCCCTTCAATCCTATTGTGCCACGAGGCTTCTTTCATGGGACATGACAAGGAGCTCTGACTTATAATCATAGTGCAACCCTCCTAATGGACAGATTGTGTGTTTCTGATGGACTAAATCCTCTCATAAAGATTTCCAGCTCCTGAAAACTGATGGAGGATCACTTTGA